TTTTGCACTTTGGTATCAGGAGAACATCATATGCGAAGAGGTGGCACGTTTGCGCCAACGAGCAGGCAACCGGCCCGACATAACTGTAAGTGTAGGCAGCCTAATTCAAGGGGCTAATTTGCGGTATGTTTTGATATCAGGAGAACATGATATTCGAGGAGGTGCGACGAGGAATATTTGGTATGTATGTAATTCTGGCTTGAATTTTACTCATGGTATCAGGAGAACATGATATGTGTAGAGATGGCACAGATTTTAATTCTGGCATGAAACTTACCTTTTGTGTCAGGCGTATATGATGAACGGGGAGGTGGCACGAATGAAATTTTAGCCTGAATTGTACTCCTGGTAATAGGACTCATGGGTAGGTATCTTTTGGGGTGTGAATTGAAATAAATAAGACATGGTTTCTCCTTCTATGTTAGTTTATTAAAACATGTAGAGTAATGATACAGAAAATTTCAAGAAAAATTGAGTTTAAAACTGTTACGGCAAAAGTTAGAATCTTGATCTTGTATATGTATGTATTTATTGTGTATGAGTATATAATATATTATATATGAAGAATATGAAAAATCGCCTGGACTCCAAACTTTTGAAATGCAACTTTGTTGAAATCGAGCCTCACTATTTTTTATTGTTTGAGGGGTACGTTGCGCAAGATTGTTGAACTTGTCTTCGCTCAAACTTCCTACAATATTGCAATTTGAGAGGGGGAAATTTAAAGATGATGATACCAAGAAATTGAGGTAAATTAAAGAGAAATATGCCAGGAAATGAAGGGAAATGTTATAGAAAATGAGGGAGAAAATTAAGGGAAAGTGTACGAAAAATGAAAGGGAAATGAATGGAAATTTATGGAAAAATGTAGAGGAAATGAAAGGAAAATTGTGAGAAATTATTGGAAAATTAAAGCATTGATGAGTACTATTTTTAGGATGAAGTTGATATTTAGAGATAAATTCCAGCTAACGTTGTTGCATTATGCCAAGAATTGACTAAATATCCACTCGATCTCATTCACTTCGTTTCAAACAGTTGTCATTCGCACTCAGCTATACGATTCACGCGCTCAAACATCTCTCGTATCAACGGTAATGCATGCATACACTCCCGAGATTCGGGGTTGCGCTACTTCTACCTATAAGTCCCCCCCATAACCTTAAAATTGAGAGATTTAGCAACGAGAGCAAAATTATTGACTCGAATTCCCACGAGAGCCGCCTGTACCTCGTTGGACAATGATTTCGCCTGTGGCTGCGGTTACCCCTCGAGATGCGACGTCATGCTCATGTCCAAACCTCGTGTACCACGGTAGAATTAGTGGTACGCGAGTTATTGGCGTCTCCGCAGTTTCATCCAGAGGTCTTTCCCGTTTGCTTCGCTTCTACGTCCTCTCATTTACCCGTCGTCCTCGGCGAAATCGTCTCGACTACGGCAACCATCGACGTGCAAGTATTGCTCGGCTGCCTGAAATTAAAACAACATACTGGTTAATATAGTCGACTCGAGTGAAGTTTCAATGTAAAGGGAAATGGGGGAAGATCTACTCTTCGTATCAGAAAGCATGGACAGCAGATTTGATGTTCAGATTTATTCTTCAATTACAGGAAAACAGAATTGTAAAAGAGACCCTTATTTTCAAATTCTCGAGTACGAGTTTGTAACCGCTTATTAGGAACTTAAGTTACTTGAGTGTATTTTAAAAATGTAGAAAAGAATTGTTTAGATACATATATAGTACATGTTGATTTAAGAGTTACTTTTAAGATGTCACGATTTGAATAAACAAGATTATTACCAAATACCGTCTATTGCTTTCGAAAGTCTGCAAGTCACTATACCAGACTTTGTCTTCCCACATTCTCACCCCCAGTCTTTCAAACACTTCGTGTTTTATTAAGGAACAAAGGAACAAAATCCTAAAGCCCCATTTCGTAGAATCCTTCATTTCGGCAGCGTTTCTATTAGAACAGAAGGAGGCTGCGAAACCTTGATTCCCGTTTCAAAATATCGAAATTATTCCAATCAGGGAGGGAATCGGGTCTCCCTGTCACGTCGTCTTTGTCGGTATGTTGGGCGCATCGAGTTTGCGGGGCTAGCTAGATGTAAATCAAGTTTGTATAACCCTTCGTTTGGCTGCAACGAATCGGAAGCCGCAAGATCTCGAGCGTGCGGAAAAGCTTTCAACTGAAATAGACTCTCGAGCGCCGTATTCGGTCCGCTCTTTCCGAAACGATATTTCCGTGAAACTTTGCGCGGGACGCTGCTGGCTCGCTCGCTTTATTATATTTCGTCCTCGTTCAGCGGCTGCGCTTAATGCCGGCCGCGTAGAGGGTTCAGCCGTATTTATCAGTCGGAAAGCCGCGGTCCGCGAACAGATTTGAAAGTAAAATAAACGGGTTTCCTGTGTGTTGGTGGGAGAGAGGGAAAGATAAAATATCGAAGTAAAGTTTGAAAAATCGCTGGGAAAAATAAATATGTCGAATACGGGCGGGTTCCGTAGTGGTTCTGTCGATGGAAAATGGTGATACGTAACGGTACAGCCGCGCCAATTTACGGCTAACGAATATAACGCCCGCGTGAAATCGCTGCCAGGCTGTTGGTGTAAGTACGCGAGCACGTTATACCGTTTGTTTTTCGAACAAACGGGATTCGTACGATCCAGTTATCATCGGGCGGACACGCCGCCGCGTGACCCGACCGTGAATACGCGGCCACGTAATCGCCTCGGCGCCCGTCAAAGGGATTTCTGGAACGCGCTTTTAAGAAGTTCAGTTAACAGAGGAGTTTAGCTTGTCAAGGGAAAGCAACTTCAACCGAGAACTTTCCCAGGGAAAAATCTCGCTCGCGTCGATGCAGATTTCGTTCAACTAGGTCGCGGCGTTCTTCCGTCTTCATCGATTCGGGGAATGCGCGTCAGACCGAGCTATTCGATCCGGCTGACCGAAAGTTAGGCGCGTTGAACTCGTTCACATATATAAATAAATTGTTACCTGTTGGAGTGGACCACTTGGACAACGATTACCTACAATTTGCATCCGTGATGAGATCAAAGAGAACTCTATTATCCCTTGAAATGAAGTAAAAAAATTTCTTACGAAATGTTTTGATGGATTTCTATTGAAGAAACTTGTTTAGATTAAATGATAGGTTTCATGTTTCCAAATGTATGTTTGTATAAATATGTTCATGTATACAGGGTGTCTACGTATAAGTTCGGAAATACGCAGGGTGTCAATTGTACAACAAATTTCCAACAAAAAATTACTCTTAGAGATATTCTTTGTGTCGCCTTATTCTCGAGTATTTTCACTTTTAATATTTTTTCTGCGTTTTCGACTTGACACTCTTTAACTCCACGTCATAACTCCACCAAATTACAGTGCAAACTTAAAACTAAGTACACCATTCGAAAGAGCGTTAAATCTCCCATCTCTCTGATGCCAAACCAAAATTTATTACGTAGATTTAACAAGTGAAAAATTAGGTTAAACTTCACATTGTGAAAATTTTTAAAAATTTGACTTTTTCTGTATTCGATTTTCGGTTTCAAAGACATAGTTGTTTGGTGGTCACTCTTCGAGAAAAACTTCCTCGAAGTCTCAGCTTTTGAACCGTATTGTCAAAAAAAAATGTACGGTGGTATTTTAGGGAGAAAATTACGTTTAAATGCAGAGAAGCGTGGGTTGTTAGGTGAAAATCGATATTTTTCAACAAAAATCGACTTGTCACTTTAAAATTAGCTTGACATCGGGTTTGATGTATTTTTTTGTGATACTCCCAAGCCTCCCCAATTAGGAAAGAAACCGATTTTTTGACACCTCAAGTCTCTCCCAGCCGTGTGTAGAGTCTGAGTGCGAGGTGAATAATAATTGTTTTTGAACATGTATCCATAGTATTTTCGTTTTTAGAGATTATTTAATTAAAATTAACCTCGGTGTACCGATAAATGATATGGAGATTGGAACACGATTGATTTCACACAGGAAAAAATCGATGTTTTCGGCGCAGGTGAACCGATGAGTTTTGATTTAGAAACCGGGCATTTTGAACGCTTTTCTGCATTTAAACGTAATTTTTTCCTTAAAATACCACGGCACAATTTTTTTTGACAATACGGTTCAAAAGCTGAGACTTCGAGGAAGTTTCTCCCGAGGTGTGCCCGCCAAACAACTATGTCTTTGAAATCGAAAGACGAATACAGAAAAAGTCAAATTTTTACAAATTTTCACAATGTAAAGTTTGACCTAATTTTTCAGTTGTTAAATCTACGTAATAAATTTTGGTTTTGCATCAAGGAGTTGGAAAATTTATCGCTCTTTCGAATGATATACTTAGCTTTAAATTTGCACTGTAATTTGGTGGAGTTATAACGTGGAGTTAAAGAGTGTCAAGTCGAAAACGCAGAAGAAAAATTAAAAGTGAACATACTCGAGAATAAGGCGACACAAAGAATATCTCTAAGAGTAATTTTTTGTTGGAAATTTGTTGTACAATTGACACCCTGCGTATGTCCAAACTTATACGTAGACACCCTGTATATAAATATATATAATGACATTTATAATGACAAATTCATATGGTAATATCAAAACCATTAGTTAATTTAATCAAGCTTCTTCAATAGACATAGAGGGTACGAATATTTATGGGATTGACTGTATATCAGGCAACACGCAATTATAAAACAAATACACTTATCGACGTTACGTTTATGTAAAGTAAAATTCATTTCGGTAGATGACAACCAAGTCACCCTTTCACGTAAGTTTACGCAGGTAAAAGTAAATTGAATATCCCAATAAATAGAAAATAATTTCTTTAATCAATGTCGCCCAACGATGTACCTCAAGTGGAGACGTCGCGAACTACCCGAATGACAAAATTAATTTTGACAAGCGTTCTCGATGAAACACGTCATCGTGCACGGTTTCGAATCAACGGAGTCTCTTGCTTCGCCGCTATTGAATAGAATCTATTTCCGTGAAACCTTTGCTTCGACGATTCGCCTTTTCACCATTCATCCGGAACGGTACTTGAAACGGTAACTCAAATTTGCTTTGACGTCGCGCCGTTAACAAGAGTATTTAAGCTAGCACAGCTGTCTCCTCGACGTTGCGACAGTTTAGATATTACGAATAGCTACTTTAAATTAACGAAGATCTCGCAACGATCCGTGGCCCGTTCGTGTTCCTCTCGGAACAGTTTTTCGTCGTTAATCGTCGCGGTAATCGAGTCGTGCCTCAAAAACGAGCCTCAAAAATATCCTCAAAAAAATGCTTTCAGCGACGTGCTAAATAAAATCTCGTAAACAGCTGCGCCGATTCACATAGAAATTTTCGTAGGTATACTCAAGAAACCGCATAAAATGTTCGTAAGGATTTATAGAAAAAAAAATTTACAGGCTTCGTGTACACGCAAGAGTTGGAAAGATTGAAAATCAAGTGACAGGATATCTCACGACTAACTGATCGCGAACCACCATCTGCTGCACCATACTTAATGATTTCCGGCGACAGGACATTTTTTTCCTCAGAAAACCCCTTCGTTGGTTTGTGACGTACTAAGAGCCAATTGTAACGCAACATTTTTTTGTTGCTACAGTAAAATCTCCTTAAATGATAAAACGAAATGTTCTAAATATGTTTATGGATATTATAAATCAATAATAAAATGTCCTTTTCACTAGAAAACGTAAATATTATTCCAAAGAATAAGGTATACACATAGTGGTTCATCCTATGGACGCGTATCGTTCGCTTGACTAATCTAAATCTAATTTCACTTTACATTTTACACTTTTCCACTTTGCACTTTACACTTTTGCACATTACACTACACTTTTCCACTTTGCACTTTACACTATACACTTTACATTTTTTATATCTAAAGACCTTATTACCAGTTCGCAGCCATTAGCTCGATATTATTCATGACGAACGATACTTCGATAATACCAATTACCAGATCTCACGACGTGGAGGTTGCTGCGATTGGAGATCCGGAGATAGAAGGAATCTATCTAAGGAATAGTAATACATACGTAGATGCGTATTCTACATAGAGTCAACGAACTTAATACTAAGCCGTGGAAATGAAAGAAAGCAAACTCCCTTTGATTTGCAAAGTTTAAGTCTGGCTCTGCCAAATAACTATTTGAACTAAATGGAAGCTAAAAATGGAAATCGCGACACGACGCGACCACGTAAGTGAACTTACAGAGTCAGTCCCGTTTCCTCTTGGTGGGCCTGGTTCGAGAGGAAGACAATCAACGTCTCCGCTCAGTACGCTACTCCCTGTATACCTGTTGCCGAGGGCCCGGTCCTGACCTTACAGTGTACGACGTAGGTAGCACCGTGTCGGGGCGCCTGACCCTGGCGATACCAGGTACGTCTCACGATCGTAGAGTCTGAGACGGAGTTCTACTCCTGCACATCGTCAGGAGTCCAGGGGCCGACTTGCACCCG